CCTATTGCAATATGAAGGAGCGTTAAGCCATCCAAGATTAGATAGATCATAGTGATCTGAGATTTAGAGTGATATGAGATTTCAATGGATAAAATTAAAGTGATTTGTTTCAAATTAGAGTAGTTTGCTAAAATTAAAGTGATTTGCTTCAGATGATATTAGAGTAATTTGCTTTTATCTGTGAATCTTAATGACATGTAACCACTTTCTTCTGTGAAATCATTGATTACTATTTTCATGAATTACAACTTCAAAATATGTTGGAATCAATGTTTTCTCATCATGCAACAATTAGCTCTTACACATAGATGAGTGTCCAGCTTTTTCTAGGAGCGATAGCTCATTATATTGATATGGAGTCACAAGTGTCTCTACTTAGGACTCACCAAATGAATTAGGAAACCAGAACAATAATATTCAAGTAAATTTTGGATAATTTTACTGTTGTGGTGGAGTCTAGCACTAAAAAGGGGCACTTGCTATTGTAATGGCATCAGTAGCAAGTGTGCATCTATGACATGGTTGATAACTATCATTGAGTGTTGTAAGGAGAATGCTATCACTGGACTGATATAATTGAATGGATCATTGACACCCTCCACATGACTAGTTCTGGACTAAGCCTTTCGACAGTCGCATTTGGATTTTCAAGTTATGTAGCCATTTGGTGTTTTGGAAAATGTACACTACGCCCACTTAATCTAAGTAGGGCCAAGTTTCGAATAACTCCGAGATCACTGAGTCTCTCACGAATTGAGCGGTCAAGAGCCTAATCAGGTACCCCTCACCATACCTTGTTGATAAGAGGTTAAGTCTTCGCCTTCTCAAACATGCGAGACCCGTCCTTTTCAAGCATAGGGATACCCTCTTTATCTACTACCTCCTGAAGGACTTTTGCCTCGAATACGGTCAGAGTCAGAGTAGGGGCAAACTTTGAGAACCTCTCAAAAAAGAGGCAAAGCAAAAACTGACTGTGGACGAAAGAGACAAGCTCATACCGACCCACAGAATATACCATGTCTCGGTGTAGCAAATCCAATCAGTAATACAGGTTCTCAAGAAATAGTGGGGCTAAGGGGATCCGATCCCTTTTGAAGAATCTAACTGCTAGTGGGAAGACAAAAGGATTCGATAGCTGCTCTTCGGTCCACGAGGGAAGGGATGCCCTGGCGAAAGAAAATGGGAAAAGACAACTAAGGTTGGATTCAAGCCCAGCAAGAAAGGGCCCCTTACTATAGATAGGCTAACGCACCTTATCTTATTAGTAAAGCAACCTTTTGCCTTTAATGAAAAACCCATGAGTATGTAGGTAAAAGAATTCAATTACTGATTTTTTTTATAGAAGATTTGAAAATGTTTCTAATAAAGTTGGTGTTTCATTATTAAAAAGCCTTTTAAAAAAAAAAAAAAAAGCTCCCTGACAATGTGATTCATTATCTCACCTGCAACTAAGACAGGGACATCTCTTGTTTCAGTTCCATCAATTCAACATGGTTAGTGTCCCTAATCACATTCATGCTTTTAAATTGTGGTATCGTCCAAGATAACAATCACAAGCATATCAAGAATATTAGCCAATGTGTAAGAAGAATCAAAACCCAAACTTGTGAATTTTTTCCGAGTATTAGCAAATGCCAAACATGTTCCAACCTTATTTGTCACAATCTGAATGTTTGTAATGGTTTTGAACCAACATGATGGCACTTTTATAGAAGATTTGAAAATGTTTCTAATAAAGTTGGTGTTTCATTATTAAAAAGCCTTTTTAAAAAAAAAAAAAGGCTCCCTGACAATGTGATTCATTATCTCACCTGCAACTAAGACAGGGACATCTCTTGTTTCAGTTCCATCAATTCAACATGGTTAGTGTCCCTAATCACATTCATGCTTTTAAATTGTCGTATCGTCCAAGATAACAATCACAAGCATATCAAGAATATTAGCCAATGTGTAAGAAGAATCAAAAACCAAACTTGTGAATTTTTTCCGAGTATTAGCAAATGCCAAACATGTTCCAACCTTATTTGTCACAATCTGAATGTTTGTAATGGTTTTGAACCAACATGATGGCACCTAAAACATGTTATGTAAAATAGTATTATTGCATTTTATGTTGTAGTGGAGAGTTTCATCTAACTCTGATAATTCCCACCTCTAACTCAACTAGTGTGCCTCTATTAGGTCACTCGCTCTCAGCAGCAACATAGCTCAGCTCTTAGCATGGCTATGTCTCTCCTTTTTCCCCATTGTATGGTGTTGCTTATAAGTAGCTTTTTCCAGCTTTGAACTTATATTAAGTTAAATAAGTCAGCCAAGCCCTTCTCTCCCTGTAACTTCTCATCAGCAAATACACTTTCTAGAAATTGGAACTTCAGTTCCATATCCACACACACAAAAAAAAAAAAAAAAAAATCTAGCCACCTAACAAAACACTTGTTTTTTGGTAAGTCCACCAAACAGAGCACATTCATATCAAAATGTTCAAATAAATAGATGTAACTCCTCTCGGAACATATATACATAATAACACAATTAAAATCCCAATTATAGGCATCAATTAACACAATACGATGAATGGAAAACAAAATCAACAAAATGCATGTTTCAAGAATCCCAAACTCCCTACAAAATGGACGATTATGACAGAGAAGAGGCAAAGCTTACAGATTGACCACGTTTTCCACAAGTTTTGCTAGATTCCACTCCAGAGATGAATGAGAACTGAGAGGAAATGGAGCCGCGGTGGGGCAACATTCATAAAATACGGTGTTGCGTTGTCGATTGCGCCGATTTTGTGCCAGGCACGGAGTGAGAGTGCGAGAGAGAGAGAGATGTTGAGAGTGAGACTGACAGAGAGAGGGAAAGGGAGCCAGAGGAAAAAATATATTTATTCGAGAGAGGGATGTTGAAAAAAAAATATATCAAATCAGTCTATTTTTAAAAAATTATTACAAATTAATGGTAAATTTTATAAATATTAATAATTAAAGAGTAAAAAAATTTCATGTAATTATTTTTTTAAACTTCCATGTGTATTTTCCCCCCAAAAAAAAAAAACTATTTTAATAATTTTGCATCTTATTAATTATGAAAAGCAAGAGAAGAATTGTGTTTTAATATTTTGTATACTGTAAATTCAAGTATAATTTAGTATTCGACTCCGATTCGTAGCTCGAATTCGGAGGTTTGAATTTGGCTCGAATTCGAAGAAGAAGAAGAGGAAGGAGGAGGAAGAAGGAGAACTGGAGGGGAGGGGACCATCAAAATCAGGCTGGAGGAGGCGGGGCTGCGACGATCGGAGTTGCTGCTGCGACGATCGGCGGCGACGGAGGCACAGGAGGGGCCCTTCTCTCCTCTCCTCTCTCTTTCTCCCTCTCTCCTCCTCTTCCCCTCTGTTCTTCTCCTGTGTTCAACGAAGAAGAAAAAAAAAAAAAAAAAAAAAAAAGAATCGCAAAACGAATTCGAGCCAAAATCAGGCCACTTTTTTTGAGCTACAAGTCATTTTTCTTTAATATTTGGGTAGCATGACAGGCAATGAACTACGCAAAGGTAAAAATTATTCTTTTTTGTTTTTTTTGGCGAAAGGAGATTTCATAAATTGAAGAAATTAACCATACAGAAATCTTGGATATCGCATCCTTTTTAGAGTCATTAAATAATAAAGTAGCAATACAAGGAGGAGGAGGAGAGGCAAAACGATAAAGGCCTTCATCCTTGCTAGACCCCATGTTTGCAAGTGCATCTGCGCATGAGTTTGCTTCTCGGTACACATGATTAATTGTTGGGGTTCCTAGGTGCGCCAGGATTGTACCTGCAGTCAAAGATGAGATTGCTAAGTTGATGGTGTGAGCTTATGGAAAACAGTAGATGTTTCAACAAGAAGGCATCTGTTTCAACTTGTAATTGCTGGATATTGAGGTCTAAAGCCAGTTGGAGCCCATCTCTTAAGCCCCAGAGTTCCACTGCCACACTAGAAGCCATGCCCATGCCAATGTTTCTGCAGAAACCACAGATCCAGCTGCCTTTCCAGTCCCTTATGAGGCCTCCTGCTCCTGCGCCTATGCTGTTACCTTTCGAGGCCCCATCGTGTTCAACTTGAAGCAGTTAGTAATAAGGGGTGGAACCCAGCCTACTTGAATGGTTTTGGTGGCCCATGGTATAGAAGATCTATGATTTAGAGATGACTGGCAATTGGTTCTCAGCCAATGGGTTAGGTCAAAGGAAAAGGCGTGTAACAAGGAAGATTAAATAGGATTCGGGGATCCTCTGGGGTGCTCCAGCGAGAGATTTTTCTGAACCTTTTTTAATAATCCGAACCATTCATATTATAAGATTCGTCAAGTATATCATTCATACAAAAATATCTAGTTAATCAGAAATCCACAATCTCATGATTAGATTCAAATTATTTTACAAAAATTATCAAGATAATGTTAACTGTTTGTTTTTTAAAAAACAAATATGTTATTATAAAATTGTAGATTTTCAATCAATTTGATTTTGTACATGTATTATCTATTCAACGAATCTTATAATATGAACAGTTCAAATCATCAAAAAAAACTTGGAAAAAGCCTCCACCGCGGCACCAAGTCACAGCAGCATCCCTTGGTCCGATTAAATAAGGATACCATGCCAAAAAGATCTAGCTTTTGGACAGTCACAAAGGGCATGTAGGCTGGTTTCACTGCCCCCAAACTAAAAATAGAACAAAATACATACCCAAAATATCTATTTTTGTTACTTCTTGATCTATTTTTCCAATTAACCTTGCCAGCTTAATCTAAGGACCTGAGAAATTGGACTGGTAACATTATGAATGGATAAGATGCAATCCATATGCAACTTTCCAACCATACCTAATGGAGAGAGGATCTAAATCCCAATCTGAACACACATAAATCAAAGCTTCAAAAGAAATGGCCCCCAAAAATAAGAAATTTCCACCCCCTTAAAAGATTGAATCATGCAATGTTCTACAGGAGAGACCAAAACCAACATAACAAGAAGTAAAGAGAGCTTAAATTGATTTCAGATTGAACTCAAAAATTCTAGAACCAAAATAACAAGGGCTCTAATGTTCAAATGTTACTTCACAAAATTGCTCGAGCAGATTAACTTAGTGCCACTGCTGATGACTCTGATGGAAAACAAAACCAAAGTAAAAACAATTTACAGAGTTCTTTAGACAAAATGTATTTACAAGTACCTTCGAAACCTTCCTAATCTTCCACAGTCTGAATTTCACCCATCATGATCCGGTTGCTAACAACATTAAATCCCAGAACTGAAGGACTCACCTTCTTCACTTTCTTTCCCTTTTTCTTCCCTCCTCCCCCTTTGGGCCCATCAGGTCCCATTGCATTACCTTGGTCAGAATCCCTGACACCAGCATTGTCAGAATTCATATCTCTGGCACCTGATCCAGTGGCCTTGCGATCATTCCGACTTTGGAAGGCAATTTCCAGGACATCTGCAGGTAACAACTCCTTGTAGTTGAGGAACTTGTCAATGAACTTGTGGTCACGATCATATGCGCCCAGGTTCTCTACCAGTAGTATCTCAGCCTCCGATCTGGATTGCTTCAAACAGAACTCCAGGAAACTTGTATCTAGTAAAGAAGAAGAAAAAAATTGAAAAATGTACATCAAGTTATCTTTTGAGTTAGTAACCATCAAACAAATTAAATTTCTGAACCTGCTATTAATGTTGGAAATGGAAAATTTTGAGACCCCTAAAATGTTCCCCACAATCACACGAGTAACATGTCATTTTTTTATTTGTCACAACCTCAACCATATAAAACTCAACTCCCTTGCCAAGTCATTGTAGGTGAATTTAGAGATTTAAATTGTAGGTCGATAGCATTTCTGAATTTGAGATAGAGCATAGAACAAGACAAATTGATCGGAAATTCCTCAATGAAAAATACTTAAATTCCTTTTTTGCGTTGTTTTTTTCCTTTTTCTTTTTCTTTCTTTAATGTACAGCAAACCAAATTTTTAAAAGCTTTTGGAAAAGAAAGGAAAAAAAAAAAAAGAAGAAGAAAAGGGAAATATAGGAAGGTGAGGTATGGTAATAGTAATATGATACCTTTTGTCCCGATAAGCCTGACGGACTCGCTCTCGCACCAATCTCTGAAATCCATGGCCTCTGCAAGGATTGGGGCTTGAAAAGGTCACTCAAGTTCTTAAACTAAAAAACACACTAACCATAATGGATTACCTGAGTTCTTAGTCATGGCATTCTTTTTCCCTTTCAAGGATGACTGAGCAGGGGCAGGTGATGATGAAAGAGATTTCTGCAATGATCCTGTCCCTTTCACAGGGGTGTTTTTGGTTCCCCAACTGTCCTGACTTGCAAGATGAGGAAAGTTCAACCTGTTTGCAGCAAACATGACCTCTTAGTTTTGCCTTCAACTTCTTAATCACTGTAACTGATTCCAACAACAATAGGTTCATAAAACCAAGAGACCCATCTAATCACATAATTATTAATTCTCTCTTTCAACTTTTTCATCTATATCTCAGTTTTTTTTTTTTTTTTGATAAATATATCTCAAAATATTTTTTAGAAGACACCACACACACAAATGAACATATTCTGATGATAAAGAATCTTATCAATGTTGAAGATTTGATAGAACTTGAGGTTGAGTTTTCTCCAACAATAATGGATCCATACAGTCAAGTTGATGTGGGATCCATGAGAAAATAATTTGTTCAATAGTTTCAAGTGATTAGTATTACTAGAAGTCTTTCAGATAATGTTGTTGTATTTTTGAACTTCTAGGAATTTTTACTAGTTTAGTGATAGGATCAAGCTCTATTAGGTATTTACGTTGGGTAGGAATAGTTTTACAAGATCTCTCTCTCTCTCTCTCTCTCTCTCACACACACACACACACACCCACACCCACACACAAAGTGGCTCATCTCTTCTATATTTCTCTCGATTCTTTATCCTTCATCTGAGAGTCATCCCTTTATTCTCTCATATTTTCTGTGTTTCAGTTACCTTTATTCTCTCTCATGTCTTCTCCTTGACTCCATTCTCTAAGTTTTATTTCCCATTTTATCTTCTCTCTTTCATCTTTTTCATCTATATATCACAATATTTATTTTTTTTAAAAAACTTAAATCTTCATATTATTTTTCCCATCGTGGGCTTATTCCATTGTCAAGGCCATGCCACATCACCAGCCTTGTTGATTGTAACAGGCTATGTCAATGAACAATTTAATGCAAAGAGATCAGCTGTCACCTAGTTGGAATAAAATATGGCATAACCTCTATATAGGCTTAAACTAGGCCACAGAACCAGTGTCCTTCAAAAAGAAACTTCATTTTTTTTCCCTGTAAAATATACTATGTCCCAACTGACCCAGCTTTACCGGGTCTTACCCCTTTCTCTAATGGGTTAGGCCTAATGTCAATGAGTTTCAGGTGTGCTTAATTAATACTGTGAAGCTCCAACAAAATAACCACTGGGGTTAGCCCAGTGAACAAAACTCATGTTCCTCACTAGGAGGTTACATTCAATTCCCCATCCCCTCCAACAAAATCATGGTACATGTCTTCAAGTAAATATTTATCATATTGCCAGACTTGGGAACCAAAGGCTAATAAATATAGCAGATATATTACTAATATGTACTAAACATAGTCGGATAGTAATAAACTGCACTCTTTATCCCTTTTTTTCTAACAAAAAGAACATATATATATAGTTGTCAAAACATATCCACCTATACCACAAACAAAATTCAACAGAAAAACAGACCAAACTTACTTAGAATGAGGGTTGATCTAGCCAAATGCCAATCTACTCCTAAATGCAACCATCTAATAGGCAATAAAGTAAAATATTAACTAATTCACAGCAACAAGTATAACCAGAAATGAAAAACACAGTAGTCAAAGAAAAGAGAATGTCATACTGCTTCACTTCTTGCTTTGTTTGATCCAACGGACCCCAGAATAGATCATCATCTCCTTTATGTTTCAATTGAGCAGAAGCATGGGAAACAAGCTGGATAGGAGACACATCCTTGACTGGAGATGATGCAGAAAGAGATCGAGAAGGACCACTTCCACGGGTGAGCTGAGTTGGCTGGGACTTCTGAGGAGTAGGAATTAAGTTTTGGTGTTGGGCAGAAGTAACCTTTTTTCCTTGTTCCCTTAGGATATCCCTCAACGATGTGGGCCTTGGAAGGTTCCCAGAGTCGGTGGACCATGCTGGGGCAGGGGTGGGATACTCAGGCTCCCCCTTCCAGAGAACAAAATCTCCTAAAGAAGGACCAGAAGGGACTGCAGGTAACACTTCCTTCTCCTGCTGCACCTGCCTAGCACCCTTGCCTTTCTCATTGGGACTTGAACCAACAGAGAGATCAACCGAAGCAATTGGCAATGAGACCTTAGCTCCAATCCCCTTGGCTTTTGCAGACTTTTTGCGATTCTTTCTAGTGTCTTTCGCCTCAATAAAGTTGTCATCATCAACTGAATCCAGTTGGGCACTCATAACTGGTAGGGAACTACTGACTGGAACCTCCATATCTCTTTCGTTAGACTTTGCCGAAACTTCTGCCAAAAGATCATGTAATTGGCTCTTCTTGCTCTTTTGGTTTATAGAAATCTCAGATTTCCCCAAATTTGACTCACTGCTACCTGCATCTGTTTTATGATCTGAATTGGCCACAACCCCAGCCCAAGGAGTCGAGAAACTAACGGAGTTTACTGACATTGGGATCTCTGAAATGGCAATTTCTGTTTGTGCCTTTCTCTGTTCTTCCTGTTGAATTTCCAATAGTGACTTTGGCTTGAAACCAGGGGCAGGCTTCCAAGCTCGCTGTCCAGTATGTACTTGTGTGTTAAGCTGTGACGCAGGGCCAACCAGTCTGGAATCACCCTTTGCATCCACAGATTCACTACCATCTCCGGATGCACCTGTGGACAATGAGCTTTTAACTTGCTGATCATCCACAATTTCAACCATAACGACTTCAGATTTGCTATCCTTAGTTCGTTGTGGAGACAGTGCATGAACTATTTCTCCTGGGGCAATCTGTGTCTCATTCTTCATACCAGCAACATTAGAAACTTCAGTTTCAGATGACTTTGATTGTTGCAAAGAGGATGTTTTAGGAACTCCTTTCAACTGGTTGGAGGATTGTGCCTTGGAAGACCTCTGCTTTCTGGATTTCTTCTCAGAAGTTTTCTTTACTTCAGGAGCTTCTACAGTTTTCAGTTCTTTCACCATGGATGTCTCTTCATTGCATTGTTCTCCTTCAACAAGTGCTTCCTCAAGAGCACCTGTAAGCGGAACCATCAGTTCATTTACTTCCTCAGGCAATGAAATGTCATTCTCATAATTCCCCATTGATTCTACTGAAGCAGATTTTTCCGGAAGTTCTGAAGGCACAAACTCCACAGCAGCGTCAGAGGTTTTAACTGTGACGGGATCATTAGTTCTCAAAATGTTTTCAGATATCTGCTCCTGTGGATGTATGTGAACCACCTCGGATTGGGGTAAGCTATCAATGGTGGCTGATGTGACCAAAGAATTATTTTGTTGTGTGTCATCAATTTGTTCTCTCAGCGCAGAACCCCAACTTTTTTCATGGACCGTATTCCCAAACATTTGGTGTGGCAAATGTATAGAAGAGCCTTCAGAACCGACATTATGACTGACATCCAAGGAAACACTAGGAGGTAAACTAACAAAGTTAGAAACGTGTTCATCTTGTAAATTTGGAACTGGCATCTGTGAGCCTGTCTGAAACAACTCGTGTGACAGCTGAAACCTAGGATGCTCAGCAGAAGCATTCCCTGCTGGCAATGAAGAAGCCTGTAACTGTCCATAAGATTGCTCACCAAAATGCTGGTGAGGATGATGATCGGACAGCACCTGAGAGAGCAATTGTTGTTGCTGCCGCAACAATTGTAGCTGCTCTTCCTGTTTCTGCTGCTGCTTAAGCAACAAGAGCTTATCCAATACCAACATCTGCTGTGATGGAATTGGTGGCTGGGAATGTAACTGCAACAAGTATTGTTGTTGCAACAAGCTCAAAAGTTGTGGATCTTGAGAAAGACCAGAAGCGAGTAGCTTTTCAGGGGTTAAAATGCTAGAAGAATTATCTATATCTTGAGCTAGTAAATTTGTTAAAGAGGGTTGGTGTGGTTGTAGCCTCTGCTGTTGGATACCAAATGCAGCTTGGGGAAGAAAATTCTGGCGATGATGCAAGTCCAGCTTTTCCTGAAGAGGGTCCAAGCCACCCTGGACCGGGAAAGTTGACCAGCCACTAACTCCATTATTGAAGCTAGAGGTAGACCTGTCAGGTAAACCTTGAAGGATAGACATCAAATTCTGGGAATGAGGTTGCTGACGAGGATTATCACCAATTGACGATAGAAGTTTTGAATGTGGATTTGTGGAGTCCTGGACAATATCCGAATTAGGAACCATTGGTGCTGCATCCCTCCCTTGCCAATATGGATAAGTATTCGACAGAGACCTCTGTCGTTCAAGTGTCACTCTCTTGGCCAAGAGGTACAGGTTGTCTCCACTTTCCATTCCGGGAGGCATACCACTCGTATTGTTTCCAATATATCCCTGCATACCTGCAAAGTGAATACAGTTCTCGAGATTAGATGAAGACAGCGGCCTTTAGTTATAGTAGCTCAATGGAATAAGAACATTAGGAAAAGAAACTATGCTACATAAAATAAAATAAAATAAAATAAAATAAAGGCAACTCAGTGCACAAGGCTCTCGCTAAAGCGGGGTTGGTGGGGGCAAGATATATGCAGCCTTACCCCTAGAGCAGAGAATGCCATCATGCTTCAAAAATGAAGAAATAAATTATCTAATCGAAAAAACCAACCTTCAGAGAAAGTAAGCTTTTCAAGTGGAGAAGCACTCATATTACTAGACATCAGGGACTCCAAAAACCTATTTTCAGCATCCGTTGTTGAACTAAGTTTATATCTTTGTTCAGCCTTAGTCATATCAATCTCACTTGAACTTGCATGAAGCTTTCCAACGGCACTGAAGTTTGACCTACCAGATCCATCCACAACTTCATTCTGTTTTGGTGCACTAAATCCAGGTGGAGGTCGGGCTTTTGCTCGCAAGTGTGGCATAACATCACCAAGTAATGAAAATGCTGAGTCATGCGGTGCATTTGCATGACGAACTTGTAAATCTATACCAAAATATCCAATCTCAAACCACCCAATAATATCACTCCCAGAAAAAGGACCTTGGATTTCACCCTGTGGATCTTTATAGTAAAGCAGAATGTCTTCCGGAGAAGGCTGTGAAAGTTTCCCAGGTTCCTGTTCCCTGTCCAAGACTGCAGACGGCTGCCTCCTAATAATCGAATCCTTGCCAACCTCCCCTTTAGATTCATCTTTGGAGTAAGAAAGGTCAGCCAAACCACTTCCCCATTCATTGTTCAGATCTTTCTGTGATTGTGACCAACCAATATCAGAAGTTCTTGACCTGAAACCAGTTGGAGTCGCTCTCCAATCATGAGAGGTTGGATCTGTACGTTGTTCTCCAATTGATGAGGATCGCCATGCTGTGCCAGGATGAACAGAAGAATTTCCCTGCACACTTGACTCTTTATTGATAGCCACCTCATCAGTCCAATAACGAGCACCATCTTCTCTCAAGGCTGAACATAATAAAATGGATTAGAGAAACATGCAATATAAAGATCCAGGATATACCATTGAATAGAACTCATCCATAGAAAACATCCTGAGTTGAGAATCAGTAAACCAGAGGATTACAGCCATCAAACTATGCATCCTCTCTCCTGGAGCATTCAATTTTAACATTGCGATTTATCAACCATAAGATATATTGAATTTTAATCAAAAAATCATTTTTGTAAAACGTAGGCAACACTGATCATCGAGCATAGCATATTAAGATGTGAACCAATAGAAATTCAAACAATGTAATTTCTATGTTAATATACCTTCAGGATTTAATTTATTATGAGAGTACTTCTGTTGATCCTGAAAGGTTTCCATATTTGCGTCTGGCCCAGAAGACTGCATTCGTTTCTCATAGGACAAACCACCAACATTGTCACCTTCATGATCATCACCAGCAAGTAAAAAATCTTCTCTACTACCTGATCACATGACACCCAACAAAAGTCAAAAGCATACGAGAAACAAGAAGAAAATATTCAGGCTAAAAAAAAATGGGACGTGTTCAGTACCAAACTTGGCTTGTCTTGCTTGTCCAAGATCATTTGAGTTTCTTCCAATGGATCCCTCTTTAAAAATCTGAGGTGCACCACTACTTACAATATCCCCTTTGTCCATTCCCTTCCAAATAACCTACTCAAGAAGTAGAGCAATAAATAAAGCTGAAAGTGATACCAATAAAGTTCATTAAAATAAATTAAAGGCGGCACAAAGTACCAATTCATCAGGGGTAGGTGCATAAAATGCTAGAGGCTCTACTGGTTCTTCCAGTGTAAGGGAAGGCACTGGTACAACCCCATCTAATATTTTCCGGCATGACCTCATATCGGTCATCCTGTACACATCAAGCATTTTTGTCCTGCTATATCTTAAAGGGGAAGGCTCTCCATGGCCAATTTCACCTTTTTCTGAGACAGTTACAAAAGACTGAGAATGAATATGAGCACTGTTCAAAGAGCTTCCACTGGGGCCAACCCTTTCCCGACCATGCGACAAGGTTTGTAGAGCATTATCCCCACGTCCTCGGCTATGCAAAAATGTAGAGCCCTGTTTGTTTGGTTTTGGAGTTTGGTGATGGGGAGGTCCCCGATTATGAGAATTAGGTCTCCATGGCCGATAATGATCTCCTTCCTTCTCATCCTTCGCATGCTGAGTAAGTTGAGACAACCCTTTATCAAGAGGCATGTCAGCGTCTCTGTTTGAGTCTATCCGCTTATCACGCAAACTATCTGTCTCCTTATTGTCAGGCCCCCAGCGTGTGTTCCATTTGCTCTCACGACGTTGATCATAATTAGTTTCCTTGTTACTCAAATCAGTCCACCGCTCAGGTACAGTACGACGTGTTTCTCCGAAGTTCCTTGCAGAAGAGTTGTCCACCCATCGGTCCACCTTACGGGAGTCGCCAAGCTCTTTATCTCCCTCCCTCCAACGATCCCTTCGAACAGCCAAATTGGTGTCTCTTTCCTCATCACGCCAGCGATCACGGCGACCAGAATCCATATCAAGCACAGTTGGCCTGAACACATCCTTTTTCTTCGGGGTTTCATGCATGTCCTCACCGTTTCCCGATGACTTCATCGCATCTGAACGACTTGCATAACCTGGATATGGGATAAAATCGTTCTCCTGTACAAAAAGAAATTATAAAAAAAAAAACAGAGCCTCCGCCCCAGCATAGAAGCTATTTTGGGTAACAAAATGGAACAACACATGCTGAAAGTTAAAGTGCAAATAATCCTAAAGAAGTGAACAGATAAAATGTCAAAATTTTGTTCCCAAAAAATATCTTAGGAAAAACAGGCCACACAAAATACCAGTTCTTTTTTAAGAAGAAGAATAAAGAAAGAAAGAGCAAATGATAACTAACCCCAGTTACATTTCCAGGCTTGTTCTCCCCTGGCTTCGGAAGAAGCCACTGTGGTGAAAGCGGAATAGGATTGTCAGATCCATGCACATCTATAAATAACAAACAAACAAAATTGATAAATGAATAAATAAATAACAAATTATCCTCACTCAACATATAAAACATGACAAATTTTATGGCTTTTTTTAGATTTTAGTAGTTAGAAGTATTGAAGTAATTTTGTAATTTATTGGACATTGGTTGTAACGATCTACTATGGGACCACCTTATATGGGTCAAGTTATGTTATGGAGTCATTGTATGCAGGATTTATTTATGACAAAGTTTCCTAATGTGAAGTCATGGTCCTATCAAAATTAAGACAACCCACTGCCTACGTTGAAGTGAAGATCTTAAAACTTGTATAAAGCTTTTGTAGTTTTGTGTGATATGAAACCTTAATTTAAGAGGCTATTCTTTAGAAGTTCAAGCTGAAATTCACATAGTTCTCCTTCTCTTCTTCTTTGTTGACAAAACACTATTCTTTGATTTTCAATACCTAGAAAATTGCACTTTCCAGTCCTAAAACTATAGTCAATCAAGCCGAACCATAACCCCTTCCCTTACCTATTGTCCTTCAATTAAACCATTAATTTAAGACCATTAATTACACAGAGATTAGGCCCTCAAATAGCCTTTGTTCTGAAAATCCAGCACAGTAACTTTTGAAAATCAAATCAAATCTCACATTTTTCCATCTAGAAACCCTAGAAGTCTTCTTCTACCTCATATAGTCCTAACCATAGAAACTTTCCATAACCAAAACCCACCACAATTTCTTTTATAGGCATCCCTCGTCCCTAGTCTCATAATCTTTCTGTCATTATCACAGAAAACCTAACAACATGATTTCCCTCCTTATATTTATTCTTTATAAATTATTTCACAGTGTGAGAGTTAATTCAGTCACTGAAATATTATCTCCTATTTACAAGTGGCGAATGACAAATCAGACCACAAACCAAACACATCAAACATGCTGCAAATAAGGTCTTCATTTAAAATATGGTATATACAAGCAAGTCAACCAGATGTTAAATACAGGTGACTGTCCACATATTCCCAGATTTATTCTCACAAACAAGAAGAGGAGCTAGTGGAATGGACCCTTTCCTCATGCCAGTGGGGGGGAAGAAAAGAGGCCCACTACGAGAGGAGAGAGTGATTCACCTGCTAACAAGCACAGGTTTTTCACATAATACTTTTGATTGAAAATCAATCTGATTTATTTCGCACCCCTCACTCAACGAGAAAATGAGTCAAAATCTACAGGATCAAACCTATGGGACTTAAGGAATGATATAAAAAAAAGAGAGAGAAAATATTAAAAAATATTAAATACAAGTACAAAATAAACACATAAAACACATATTCAGGTGTTGCAAAAACTGTCATAAGATAACTAAGAGTTATGGGCAGAAAATGAACAGCAATAGACCACAAAGAAAGAGCAATATCCACAGAACTTGAAAGGTACTGAAAGTTAACAATTTAGCATACATGAACTACGAGACTGCATTGCATCATATGTATAGAGTAAATGAAAAAACAACACAGAGTCAACATGCATACAAGCAACATACATAGAATCTAAGTGGAAATACATCTCTCTTTTTTCCCTCAAATTGCAAGCAAAAGGGAAAAGAAAATTACAGATACAATGATAAAGTTGTTTATAATATTTTTTAGGCTTTCTTTTGGTTAACAAACTATAAAAACCAACAAGAACCAAGTCAAAAGAGTGATGGCCCACTTATCTCCACCCCTGATTCATCAGAGTGATGGGCCACTAATCTCAAATGAAAAAGTGCCAAGTTATGAGGATTGACTTTCCCCTATGTTTTTTTTTTTTAATTGACACCGGGGTGTCCGGAACCTTCCCCTGTGTTTTTGTTGTTAGTTTGTTTCATTCAAACTCAATATTACATATTAGCACCAGCCAACAGCTACTCAAATCTTTAGTTGACATCAAACAACATCCTCATAATATTTGTGGGGTGCATCAAAGCATTCCCATACACCTTACCTTAAGTTGTCCATATAAACAATGTGCAAGATAAACCATCCTCAGCTGCAGGGCCCCAATCATACTAAACTCACTCATTATGTAAATTAAATTTTCAAAATGGACCAAGTAGGAATTAGTATATCACATTAAATACAATCAAAAAGATTATATGTACTCATATTAGCTAACATTCACTCCAAATGAAAGGCAAGGTCGAGCACTTGGTGTAATTGATAAATAATATAGTCCACCGAGGCCAAGAGAGCTACAAAAAACATCAACCTCAGATGATAAAATCTTCAATGAAAACAGCGTATTTTATTTTCAACATACATAACAGTCCATGACTAGTGAACTGGAGAAGCAACTCCAATAAAAGAATTCAAGCTACATAAAAATCAAAAACATATTTAAAATATAATATATATATATATATTTTCACCGTACTAAACTCACTCATTATGTAATTAAATTTTCAAAATAGACTAAGTGAAAATTAGTATATCGCAGTATATAATAAAAAAAATCATGTATGTGCTCGTATATTATCTAACATTCACTCCAAATGACAAACTAGGTCAAACATTTAGTGTAATTGATAGAATATTGTCCAACAAGGCCATGAAAGCTATGAAAACAACATCAGCATCTGACGACAAAATCTTCAATAAAAATAGCCTTTTTTCTATATACACAACAGCCCACGCCCAGTACCGCCAAACTAACCCCAAGAAAAGGAGGCAATATATATATACAAAACAAAAGACCTTTTTTTTCAACCAAACAGATTCCCAGAGAACTGTATTCAGTTGTTGTCGCTCCGAAATCAAAAGCAATTATATGTATAAAATAAAACCCTAAAAAGATTAATGTTCCCCTGAAATCATAAAGCAATACAAAGCTTAAGGCTCAATTAGCTAGTAAAAGCGATAAATTAAACAAATGCAAGAAAAATAGTCAAGCATTCTCTTTTCTTTTCCCTCATATTCCCACCAACCAAACAGAAAGAAAAATATCAAAAAACCACTCTGGTGGTCTCTCGAACAGCAAAAGGAACACGAGCGGCTCCAATCTCCACAATAAACTAGGGTTTTGCACAAAAAAGAACCACTTCGAGTGGAAATCAGAATACGAACACCATAAATTAACAATCAACGAATAAATTTGAGTTGTAAGAAGATACAGAGAGATAGAGTGTTGGAGACGCAATAAATTCTTAATGTGGAATACCTTTGGAGATCTGGACGCTGCGAGAATCGATATCGGACTTGGCAGCCATGGATGATCGGCGAGAAAAGGAAGAGTTGGAGAGAGAGAAGGAGCTCGGAGACGCCAAAGAAACCCTTTTTTTGGATGTTTCGAATTACTGCTGAGGAGAAGGTAAGAGAGAGAGAAACACAAATGATATGAATATAAGTAAAACTTGGATTTTTTTTTTTTCTTTTAATAAAATTGAAAGTCGGCTTAAGTTAGTATAGTCTAGTAATTTATTACGGAAAATATTTGGCAGTTCGAACTTTTGTGATTTGAATGTGTCAAAATTATGTTGTTTTATATTTAAAATAACATCGTTTTAAGTGTTTTGAGTTATTTGAATTATAAATTTTGGAAACCTAATATTATTGATTTATTACTAGGCAAAAAAATTTAGAAATTTTAAAAAATTTATTACAATTTTTATTAAGTTTACGTTTGGTAATCTCCAATTTTAATTAAAAAGTCAAAATTATAATAAATTATTATATTAATTTTTTATTTTTTTATATCTTTTTACAAAAAAAATTATTAAAATAATCTATTCTAAGCAATACTTAGCCAATGTTTGGGAGGTGGGTTTTGTGATTTTTTGATTAGAATAATTAAAAAAAAAATAGGTTTTTTAGTCTTATAAGACATAATATCACATCCAATCTATAATTATTATATTCTTTCTCTTACAAAAAATTTTAAAAAATTCAAAAAATTAAAAATTCTTCTCAAGTTAAATTTTTTAATCACAAATTAAAATAATCAAAAATAACTAAAAATCTAAAACGTCGACCCATTTCTCAAACGAAGCCCCAAATGTCTTATAATCTCACACCTACGAAACATTTAAATTTACTGTTGAACGAGTTCGCGATATTTTTAGGGGTTATCTCACGCGCTTACAGATTGCGTGGATTTTGTGTTAAACTGAAATCACCAATTTATCCTCTGGCGTGGCCACCGGCCCTAACTAATAACATTTTAGTAGGCTTCTATTAACACCGGGCTTTAAGCACAATACACACCACATTTTCAATTTTTGTTTTAATGTTGCAATTTTTTCTCTATGAGTTGTTTTGAAAACTTCTTATTTTAATTCGTTTTTTTACTACAGTATTTTAGTTTTGTTAAAAAACTTTGTTTTAGATGCCAGGAAGAGTTAGGATTTGTTGATGGATGGACTAATATTAAAGTAAAATTATACAATATGTTTTAAGTATAACCACATAAGAAAAAAAGAATTTAATAATATAATCTAGATTAATATTTAAATTTGTTAATTAAAAACAATCTAACTAAATTGTGCTTGACGAGTTTTTAAATATTTGAATTTATCGATTATAGAATCTAAATTAATTTTTAAAGTAAGGTCTCGTTCAAAGTAGAGAGATAAGTAATTGGCAAGAAACTCATCCCCCATAGAATTGCAAATGGCAATTTTAACATGCTTCATATCTAAAAATGCTCTTTCCGTAGTCGCCATAGAAACAGAAGGGTCGGCACAAGACAAATCAATTTGTACATCATGGTGTAATACTCAAACTTTCTTGTCACACAAATCGGCAAAGGTAGATTTATTATGAAACTCGGGATAACAAGCAACATCAAGCTTATAATGCATTAATTGGCATCTCAAAGCAGGGATGTCCTGAGAAGTTAAATCTTGAGAATAAAATTTTTTGGCATGATTGCAAATATTATCCACATTAAAAGATCTAAAATTGCCACTAGGATCCAAAGTCAATATAAGAGAAAGAAATTTCACTACCCCATCATTAAATCTATGTTCTAACTGCATCAATTGAAAATCAATTGTAGAGTTGAATATGCCAAAATGATAATGATGCTCAATTGTAATGTAATCCTATTAATGACAACGACTTGTACCCTCTTCATACGAAGCACTCATATTATGCACCGCAATGTTATGTCGATTGCAAAATGACACCATATTTGCAAGAAAAATATCCCAATCATCATGTCTAAGTTTTTTAAGGAAACTAATTTCATCGCATTTAAGATGTCTTGAGTTTTTTGTTGCAATGCTTGACAAAGTGTATTAATGATTCCCAAAATGTTGTCGATCAAGTGCAAGACAAATATGAATTCAAAGCTATTCATTACTTTGTAAAGATCATTAGTATAGCACTATGTGCTTCCTGTTATAATAGAACTATATTTGACTCTTTGATTATCTTGATTGAGAACCTTCTTAGTTGATATTTGAGCCTTGGTTGAGGTGTTACCGTAGTGGTTGGATGAAATTGAATCAGAAACTCCAAATTCGAATAATTGTTGTTGAGTAGTTTTCACTATTTCATTATTTTCTCTCTCCATACTTTGAATCTTGATGTGAGTCTATAACATTGGAAAGCTTACTTCCAGGGCTTCAATTTGGGCACAAGAATGACCCTAAACGAAGTTTGGACGATAAAAGTATACCTGTTCGAATTTTGAGTTTCTATGTTGAGTGCATGCTCGCTCGAGCGAGCTTTTCTTCACTTGAGCGAACTGCGCAATTTTCAGAGATTCTATGAGCTTCTTTTCTACGCTCGAGCGACTAGGTCGCTAACAGACATTATAAAGTGACTTTTTGACCTAAAAACTTTATTTTTTTCCCTCTCTTCTCCTCCCATCCTCCAAACCTGAAACTCTAACCTTCCAAACTCTTTATTTCTCTTATTTTTACCCAAAATTCACCCCAAATCTTTCAAGAAGTTTAAAGACCAAGCATAGATAAAGACTTCTATCGATTGTTTTGTGATTTCATTGGAGTTTCAAGTTGGGTCTTAATCTTTAGCTTCAAATCTTGAGGTAGGAATTTCTTTGCTCATTTTCAATACCTCGTCTATAGATAGTTATGTGATAAATTTTATTGCATAAAAATCATATCCATTATGGATTTCTTTAAAAGTCATGAAAGAAGATCTAGGATTTGTTATTTGTGAATGATATTGTTAAATTGATTGTTTTTTGGGTTAATTAGAGAATAGACTAACATGTTTATGTTGAAAGGGAGAAAAAACCCTAATATAATGTTTTGGCTTGGTGAATTAAAAAAGGGTAAACTTCAATAATGTTTGTAAATTGTTATTATGGTTTGTGTAAATGTGTTAGCTAAGAGGGAGAATTAACTATGGCATTGGAAATGTGTTAGCTAAGAGGGAGAATTAACTATGGCATTGGAAATGTGTTAGCTAAAAGGGAGAATTAACTATGGCATTGGAATTATTTTGAATTGATCATATCAAGTTGAGTTAGGTTGTGGCTTTGATATCAATGAATTTAGTTTTGTGAAATGAAAATAATGGATTGGGATAAAGAGTGGAGTATGTTAACTTGGAAAATAAGAGAATTTATTTTTGAACAGAAATAAGGAAATCATAACACCATGTGAATTTCAAAAATGAACTTGAGGTTGGGTTATAAATATTTTATTTTACTATTGTTGTTGTTGGATTTAAAATCTCATGAGAGTTGGATTATTACAATGCGTGTGTTGAGTACATACATTTAGAGGTTTTGTCCTAAGTCATCAGTGGAGGATGACATTGTTATGTTGAATAATTTATGTGTATACATTACACTTGTGTTAGTTGTAATTTGTCATGTCGTGATGATTGGTAGCGTATATTGCACTGAGAACGAGAGGTACCATTACCTTCCAGCTAGCACCTGGAGACTTGGCTGTGTTTAGAATGAGAGGTACCAGTACCTTCCATTTAGCGCTTGGAGAATTTGGCAGAAGTACCATTACCTTCTAGCCGGTGTCTGGTAAATTAGCGTTTCATTATAAAAATATGCATCATTAGCTTACCGTGCTTAAGGCAAGTAAAGCAGAGCTTATTTCTCATCATTATCTCAGTGTACCTGTGTATATCAAGCATTATGATGGTTATGGCTCAAGAAGGCTGAGTTATCTCATATGTTAAGTAGACAGTTATTGGTGCTTATTGTTTTCGTTTTTCATGTTAGATGTACATATGTATATTTGAACGTGTTGGAAAATGGTGTAAACCATGCGTTGAATTCATAAATAATATGAAGGAAATCAGAGATTTATGAACATCTTTCAAACTCCAAAACAAAATAGTTGTTATGAGATATTTTTGAAATGGGAAATGAAAAGAAAATGTGAACTGTCTGTATTGTTGAAAGAATTGAATAATTTTAGGGGAAGCACTTATGTAAATATTCTTTGGTTATAAACCGTCACATTATTTATATAGTACGAGACTAAGCATTCATGATCATGACTATCTGTATGTTGCTATTGTTTAGGATCATGTTGAGATCCATACTGGATTTTATGTTTATCCCACGCTACTAATCCTTTTCAAGAGAAAGTCAATAAGTGTTTCAAGGTCATGGATCTTCTTTACCTGTTGGTCACGGGGCCTTTTATTTGTGGGCGGAATGTCATTGATGTAAAAGGGTTAAAGGATTTAAAAGATGTAAGCCTACGGGTAATTTATTTAATTATAACTCCTGTTGCATTCATATTGTATTCGGATGAAAAAATCTTTATTCATCTGTTATTGTAAATGTAAAGAGTTTCCGCATGTTATCTCTAAAATTGAATCTATAACAATGGTTTGGTAATGGAATCCGAGTAATAAAAAACAGGGTGTGACAATTTGTGACAACCCTTACCACTGATTAGTGCTAATCTATGATTAAGCATGTTAAATGACTGATTGACTGAAATCCTGAACTGATTGATTGATTGTATAGCTTAAGTGCATTTCTATCTGTTGACTGTTGAATGATCTGTTCTTGTTTTGCGCTTTAAACTGTAAATTGAAGGCCTTATCGGCGGCCGAATATGAAATCGAGTAATGTTTTATACTAGTTAGAATTTATGTGATTTTATAGTATATTCAATTGAAATGTGATTTGGTATGATTAAATTAGATTTGATAATGTTAAATTACATAAGTTGGCTTTATTTACCTAATTGTCATTGAGTGGGTTATGCTAGGCCACTACTTCTCTCACCTTTAGCATTGTTTGGCACCATTTCTTCGGCCTTATTCCTAGAGCAAATCGACTAGAGAGAGAGGAAGAGTAGAAGAATTGATTTTAACCAAAATTTGCCTTAGAGACTTAGAAGATTGAAGAGTAGATTGCATTTTGAGCTTCCATTCTTGAAT